GGGGGGGGGGGTCATTTTTTTGGTCCAAGGAATTTTATTTTGGGGTATCATCTGAAATGGAGTATTTTGTTGGAACCACTCTTGCAAAATTTTTCTTTATTTACTATATTTAATTTAATTATATATTATTGAAGAAAGGAGTGCTTTAGCTGTGATTGAGGTGATTTTTACAGATATGTTGAGGTAGGATTTCATTTTTTTTTTGCTCAGGGAATTTTATTTTGGGTATCATCTGGAATGGAGTGAGTTTTCTGGAAGCACTTATTTCAGTTTAGACTAATGATGAAGAACTTTTTTTAAACCCAATTTTTTATGATGAATGTATGCTTTGATATAAAAAAATTTCATTTGCATGATTTTTTTTATATGTTATGAAGAATTTTGTATGTGCCCAAAATGAGATGCATGAATCATGTTGCATGTTTCCATGGTGGGTATCTGACACTTGATGGATTGCATTCCATGTTGTTTGGGATATTTTTAGAGCAGTAATTTATCCTAGACTGAATAATCTATTTTGCTGCATTTTTTTGTGTTTTTAAGGCATAGTGTTCTTGTGAAAAATTATGTATTTTGGGGCACTCTGATGATTTGATGGATGTTTATCTTGACTGTGCATCTTTTTCTTGAGATATAAGTTTCATTACAAAAAAAGATTATTTGTTAATGTGTGCATGATTGCCACATTTTCTCCTTGTAATTTCAAGGCCATCAGTTGGCTGCTCAGGGATGAGAAGAGAAAAGGCATCTTTCTTAGAACTTGTTTAATGTCCTCTTTTCAATTGTGAAACATGTCCCCTTTTTACTTTTGTAAGAGTCTGTGGAAGTTCTAGCAAAATTTGCACTTTTGAGAAGATCAATTGGAGTAAATTCATGATTAATCTCATTTTGACTGTACTGTACTTCCATTTAGTTTTTGAAAATTTTGGAATCTTGAGACATTTTCCAAATGCTGCATGGGGCATATTTTTTCAAATTTCAACTGTGCATCAATATGAGCTTGCAAAAGTTAGGGCCCTTATATATGTTTATATTTTTGTGTGGTGCTTTTCCTTTTCAATAATGAAAACATTCCCCTTTTTACTTTTGAAAGAACCTGTGGAAGTTGTAGCAAAATTTGCATTTCTGGAGAAGATCAATTTGAGTGAATTCCTAGTAAATCTCATTTTGACTTTACCATACTTTCATTGTAATAGAAAAATTCTTAGAAATGTATGAAAATATTATTTGAAAATTTGCATCTTGGGCAAAATGTTTTTTTTTTTTAGTTACAGCTCTGCATTATTTTAATCATCATGCACATGTTAAGGCCATTTTGTGTGTTTTTGTATTTATTTTCAGTGGTTTATTGAAGACCCTTGGCTGTGTTGATGCTTGATTGATTCATTTTGATGGGATTCCATTTTCCAGGAAATGTCATTGCTTATTAATTAGTTGTATGTATGCTTTCTCTGGTGTTTGCTGACAGGGCAGTGAGGAGACCCAGCAGAGGAAGCATGAAACCAGCAGTGTGGTACACATGCACACTCATGGTGGGCTTCTTGTACATATATGTGACGCTCATCAACTATGTGAGAGGCGCAGAGATATCTGGGCCAGAACCCAGGGTCCTTGTGGGCCCACAGGAGAACAAAGAGCATCCAGAGATGCTCTATATATATATATATATATATATATATATATATATATATATATACTATATCCCCAACTGCCTCTTCAACTTTCCTTTGACCTCATTGCATATTTATTAATTTATTTTAGCTTGGGTGGAAAAAGAAGGAAAATCTGAGCAGGAACTTTCAAGAATATTGGAATTGGGAATTTCTTTTTTCTTTTTTGCCAATGAGAAGCAGTAACCAGTAATGAACTGTGGCATTGAATTTTCTGCTCAGCCTCCATCCAATTCAATTACAAAATTTTCTCAGGGAGTTCAGCATTATAGGAATGAGTGTTTGTGGAGTTCCCTGTTGAATCAAGCAGTGATATTTCTTGCCAAATCAGTATTCTTAATAAGATTATACTGTATATTCACACAGGAATGTAAAATATAAATTGTTAGTGCTGTATTAATAAGTTTTAATATATAATAAGTGCTTCATTTCCTTATATCCTATCATTTTCAATAAAAATTGAGAATGAGCAAGTTCTGCTTCAAGAGAGTGTTTTTGTGGGTCCCAGCTGTATCACAGACTGTTATTTATTGATATTCAATTCATATTTCCAATATTGAATTTTAAATAGAAGTTTTCATTATTCATAGCATTTCATATTAATAACTAATGTATATTATACAGTATTATCCACATGTATGTATATTACTGTACAGTATATGCAAAGTATTATTTTTCAATTCCTGCATTTTATAACTACTCTCCTGATGTCTGTTAGAGTTTTGGTGGGGATTTCAAGAAATCAAAGGAATATCTCTGGCTACCTCAAGTATCAGATGGAGTTTCTAAGAATTTTTTTTTAATTGGACCTTTGCTTTTATAATGAATGACAAATTATTCAATTCTAAGTTCAACTTTTCTACCCTCTGCCCTACAGATATAGTGAGAAATACTTGAGAGAGGTCTTTGTTAACCCTGAAGTTTTGATGATCCCTCTTGTGTCTCTGGAATGAAGGTTTGAAAAATGCTGATTCAATTTAGTAAATTCAGTCTCATTTGTACTGGAACCTCCTTGATGGGTATGAGAAACTTTTTTTTTTAATTATTTCTGGTGTGCAGTGGAAGTTCTCAGACATGTTAAATGTGGATAACTTTCTCATTTAGTTAATTGAAAAATTAATGAAAATTCACAGAAAAAGTTTGGTGGTCCCTGAAATAATCAAGGTTATTGTATACTTGGTTCTCTGTTTCTCATGGTGGCTTTTTGAATTACTGGATCAATTTATAATATAGGGCATTGCTTCTTTTAACACTTCTTGAAATATTCTTGAGGTCAAGGAAATTTCCTGGGGATTTTTCTGTAAATCCAGAAGTCTTGCAAATATTTTTCAACTTTAACAATGGAATTGGACTGGTTCCAAAATTTCATTCTTATCAAGTCTTTTTTTAATTTTAATCTAATTGTATTGAGAGTGCTTTCCTAGCAACTAAAAGTTTTGATAATTTCAAGCTTAATCCACAATGAATTGAGAAATGTAAGATTATTCATGACTGCTATGAAAATACAAAGACAGCAGCAATCAAGTTGTTTGTTTCTTGGTTGGAAAGGATACATGTTCAATGAGCCTGAAAGAACTTTAGAGGAGAAAATGGCTGACATGCTCATTTTTGTTGACCTTTCCATTGTAGACACAAACACACCCACAAATTATGTGGTAGGAAGTTTTATATGGTAGCTGCTTGCAAAACTTTCTAGAACACAGTCTGCAACTTTTCCCCCTTCTCCCATCTTTGTGCCAAGGATCCCTCAGGCCTGATTGAAGTGATCTTTTGATATTTTTTTATTTTCTCAAACAGTGGACCATCAGTGGAAGGGGTGAGGCCAGGGTTGCCATCAAGCCCAGTTAGGGGCAACTTGATTGCCAGACAATCTGGATTCCCAAGGTTGGACTTTGATTACCACCACTACCCAGAGATGACTGCATGGCTGGGGAATGTGTCTGCAACATTCCCAGAGATCACAGCACTTTATTCTATTGGGAAAAGTGCCCAGGGGAGGGACCTTTGGGTCTTGGTGTGTTCTGCATCCCCTTATGAACACATGATTGGGAAGCCTAATGTCAAGTATGTGGCCAACATGCATGGGAATGAGGCTGTTGGCAGGGAAGTGATGCTTCACTTCATCCAGGTCAGCTTTCCATCCCTCTTGACACTTCAAAAATCTAAAAGAGTGCATTGCTATTTTGTATGTTATCAAAGGAATTATTTACATTTGTTTCAAGAACTTCTCTTTTTCCAAATTACTCTCTGCCTTGAGGAAATGTACAAGGTTTTCTCCTGCAGCTGTTTCCCTTGTTTTGAATTCTCTCTTCTCATGTCACCCCATGTTAACAGCGTGATGCATATCGCTTTGTAAAGTACATATAAATTATCTCTCTCATGCTTTTGTGCCAGACAACTGAAATAAACATATCAGAGCACATACATCATGATTAATGTTATATATACAATATGGTGTATAATCTCATTGCATATATTTAATGAATCTTCTCCATGAGACCTGGATACTTACAAATACATAAGATACATGGAAGGAACCTTGGGTGACCAAGACTTTGGCAAAGGTATATGTGTCACCTGTGGAACTGTATATCTCTCAGATTTAATCCTGTGTTGATCGAAGTTACTTCTCAAAAAGCCTTGTGAGCAATAGCAAGACTTTCTTAAATTGGTCTAGTGTATTATTTTTGTTGGACTAAGATTTCACTGCAAGTGCATCTGGTATATTATTTTTTGAAGCGTATTTTAAATTAGTTAGTATTGACAACATGTAATTCCAATGAAGTTATTTCAAATGTCCCCCTCAGTTGATAATGATAATTTGGATGCTCATGAACAACTGTACTTGACAAGGACCAGTAATCTAAATCTGGAGATTTCTAGACAAATGAAACTTGGAAAGTGCTGATGCTACAGCATTTATGACACTCAGAGAAAACTGTGGAGTATAATATTGTACCTTAAGTAACTATTGTACTTCAAAGTGTACTGGTTAGTTGACAATATGCAACAAGACTTTAGAATCAATTGGTTGATGACTAAGAAATTACTTGTCATGAAACAGTAAAATAAATTACTGCACTTCCAGAAAAAAGCTCCTACCTTTTTGTGAGTTTGTTGTAAAGGTATATGCATGGAGTTGGGTTAAACCTTATTTGATACATCTTCTGAAAGAATTTTAGTCCCTGACATGGCAGATGACTTAGAAATATAGTTGGCATGAAGCAGTAATATAAATTATTTCATCTCCAGGCAATCTCCTCTCTTTTTAGTGAGTTTTTTGTAAAATTTTTATTTGTGGAGTTGGTTGAATTTTTATTTTATGAACCTACTGGAAGAACAAAGAATGTTTGTCTTTAGAGATTACAGGCACATTCTGGATGAACTATCAGTGCTTCAGTATATGACTTCTGACCAATGATGCAGGCATTGCTGGTTTCACAAAAAGTGTGCTGACCATGACAGGGGGCATGATGGAGTATGTGATCATGTGTTTAGCTTCTTATGCTTTTTTTTTACCATATGGGGCCAAGAATACATCCTTTTTTCCCCCCACTTCCTCCCAAGAATTATCTGCTGCTTGCAGGGCCTAGATTCCCTCTGCTCAAGTAAATAGAAAAAAAGGAAATGTGGAATCTTGGGTGTACAGAAAAAAAAAAATATATATATATATACATGTAGAAGAAGGATGAGGAGGAAAAAGTTTTTTCTGGCTTCCTCTAGTCTATAGGACTTGTGATTGCCTTCCCTACTTGGATTACTGTCCCCACTGGGCTGGAATTTATCTTTTGTGTCCTACAAACCTTTTTTTTTTCTGAAGGGAATATGCAAGAATTTGTTCCATTTGATTGATCTCCTGTCCTTGTTTCCAGTACTTGGTGCTGAACTACAAGAGAGATGATTATGTGACATGGCTGATGGACAACACAAGGATACACATCATGCCATCCATGAACCCTGATGGGTTTGAAGCATCTGATGAAGGCAGGTGTCAAGGTGGCAAGGGAAGGTGAGAAAAAATGATTTTGGTGACTCTTATTTTTCAATGCAAGAAAAATGAGTATTGAACTTATGTGGGAGTGACATCTACTCAAACAGGAATCATTACATAGATGGAGACCCACTTATTTGACTCTGCTGATATTAGATGACATCTGATTAAGGAAAGTGAGAAAAATGATGTTGGCAAGTCTTATTTTTCAATGCCAGAAATTTATCATGTTGAGTTCATGTGGGAGTGACATCTACTCACACAGGACACAGTATTTTTAAAAAGATACCCATTTATTTGACTGTGTTGATATTATTTGACATTTAATGGAGGAAGGTGAGAAAGATGGCTTGCAAACTTTATTTTTCTGTACTGAAAAATTATAGTGTGTTGAGTTTTTGTGGGAGTGACATCTACTCACACAGGAAACATTATTTTTAAAAAGAGACCCATTTATTTGACTGTGTTGATGTCATTTTGCATTTAATGGAGGAAGGTGAGAAAAGGGATTTTGTCAAGCTTTATTTTTCAATGCCAAAAAATTATGTGGGAGTGACATCTACTCACACTGGAAACATTATTTTTTGAAAGGAGCTCAATGAATTTGTCTGTAAGTATTCAATGATATTTTATTATTGTTTCTTTAAATTTCCCCATCAGGTACAATTCTGAAGGTTTTGACCTAAACAGAAACTTCCCAGACTTTTTCAAGTCCAATACCCAGAGGGCACAACCAGAGACTGAAGCTGTCAAGAAGTGGATCTCCAGGATTCAGTTTGTTTTGTCTGCCAATTTCCATGGTGGTGCCCTGGTGGCCTCTTATCCTTATGATAATTCCCCCAACTCCAGTGAGTATATTGTACTATGATGCCTACATTTTATTATGTGTTTTTTTCTTTGTGGCATTGATGGGAGGAATCTTGTTCTCCTGTTTAACCTTCTTGCTGCTTTTGTGGTGGTGCAGTTTACTGCAGGACTCAAATGGGATGCAAAAGTAATTGGTATTTTTACTAACAGCCTGCTTTTTGTAGATTTGACAATAGAAAAGTTGTCCTGTTTTTGGGTTTTGCTGCTTGCTTTGGGGATTTTTTAACTGTGAAGATTTTTTTACCATTGTTAACAGTACAGTAATGAGGTGTAATTTTTTTGTATGTTGTTGATATTTTTATTTAATTTCATGGAACCTGTGTATGGAAACTATTCTTTAGACCCAAAAGTTTTAGGAAACTTCAGAAATGTGAATTTAAGATTTGAGATTTTCTTCTTCTTCCCTTATACCTTATGTTACATGATGGATATTCTTTTGACAGAGTCAGATTTTTGGCATTTTCCTGCTGCTTGAATTTTTACTCACCAAGGCTTACATTCTGCATGTGTAATAAATTTTTAAGTGTGGTTATGGATTTCAACTTCAAGTTTAGTACATTAATCCATTCTTGTTGGTGACATGGTCCCAGAGATGAGCTCATTTTAGTGTGTAAAATATTCCTGATCCTGAAAAAAAAATGATCAATTTTGTTGCATTTGAAATTTGTCCAAAAATATAACTTTAGGAGAAATGTGATTAAAGTAAACTTGCAATAAGTGAAGTGAGACTTTTTAATGTTGAACACATTTTTTTAAATATTCGAAATTCATGTTTTTCAGTTTTTATTAATCCATCTGTAGTTTATTTCACTCATGGTCTCCTTTGTGGACTTTTCTTGGTGTTTTTGGAGCGAATGATTTCATTCTCCCATGATGATTTAAAATTACTGTTGCATGTTTGTGGTGTCAAAATTTTCAGACTCTGCTAATTTGGGATTTCTGTGGTATGTTGGTGGCGCCTGTGTATGTGTTTGTTGTTGAAAACCTCGGCTTGGCAGACGAGCTTCGGCTTCTTATAAAGTTGCGGCCATTCCATGAACACAAATCCAACATACACGAACACATACATACATACATACAAACACACATAGTGTACTAATATTCAGTTTGCACAATATTCGATTTTTGCTTTGGTGCTACGCGTATATATGATGTGCACGTCGTCCGAAAGCACGGAAAAATCGTAGCTTAGTACAGTGCGTGCTTCGAAAGCATTACCGTATTGATTCGGGGCCGGGGGTTATTGTAACATTTCAATAGTTTTGCAATCACTGTCGCGGCCGACGTCCCCGACGCCGGATGATGACGTGTTCCGCCACCTGGCGTCGGTGTACGCCACGCGCCACCTGACGATGCACCGCGGCCAGGCCTGCGACGCCCAAACGCCGCCATTTCCCGGCGGTGTCACCAACGGCGCCCGTTGGTATCCTCTAACAGGTTCGTAAGTTCCACAAGCATCACTCGTCGTAATCGTTCGTCTACACCACCCCGCGAACGTCTGAATGACTGACGTCACTGCCCTATGTATTGAAGCATCGTGAGGGGGGGAAAGAAGGATTTGTGTACAGCTCACGTCCCCTAACGGCGCGCGTTGGAGGCTCACTCTGCGTGAATGTCCGCTCGCCGTGAATAGGTGTCGCCGCTGCTCGTCTGCCGAAGCCGCAACACATCGATCGTAGTTCGGGTGCGGGTTTTGTTATTGCTCTTCTTCATATAAGAGTTCCTGCACTGGGTTTAGCTATAGTAATTACGGAAGTGATGAGGATAATTACTGGGCGTGTGTAACGTGTATGGCATAAAAATGACACAGAGGCTGACGTGCCGGCGAGCAGCGACGACGACGACGTGTTTCGACTATTGGCGCGGACGTATGCGGACACGCACCCGCGCATGAACAGGGATGTCGAATGTCCAGGGTTTTACGGAGCCAAAGTAACGAGTTTCGACAAGGGGATCACAAATGGCGCCGCTTGGTATTCTGTTCAAGGTCGTTAATGCAGTGCATTGTGTTTCATCATTTGACTACGATCTATGATTCGTTTTTCTAAATTTTGTTTGAAAAAGGAGGGAAAAAATAAAGATTTAAATAATAAAAAATAAAATGAAAATGCAAAAACTTACATTAGAAAGATGTATTTGCAAGTAGAAAATTGTTTTCATGTTAGATTTTTTGAGAGGAACATTCATATAAGGTAACCTCAGATATAAGTTTTGTGTAAAAAATTGAATAAAGGTTCAAAAACAAAATAGCAGAACTCAGGTGAAATTTCAGTGTCTTTAGAATGGTTTTCTTTTTATTCATGTAATTCATTATATTTTTATGCTCCTTTGAAATCTGTCCCTCAAGAAGTTTGTTAATTGAAATTCAGGTTTTTGTAATTTTAATACCAAGCTTTTGAAAAATTAACTCTTATTATCTTTCTAATGCCTTATGTGAATATGTGTCAATTTCAAGTTCTATGAGAAAGTTGGTAGTTTATAACATCAATTTTAATTCAAAATTGAGTGGGTCTGAAGAAAGATTAATTCTGGATGAATTTGGAGATAATTATTAAGCTTTGTGTAGACATTTGAAATTATACTATTCCAATATACAGTACTTAACTTCTTATGTTTTTTAACTACCTATATTTTAGCATGAAATTTCCATGGTCAACCTTGAGTATAAAGTTTGCTTAGCAGAACATACCCCAATTAATTGTTCTGCCTGGTTTATAATAGTTGAGAGGTTCCAATTATAAAATACTGATGAAATGATGCCCTTTCTGTCCTTGACCATTTGCAGGGGGGGGGTGTAATTTCCATCAGCCCAAGGTACTTTAGGGGAAATCCTGGGGTATTTAATTTCAAGCCTCCCTGCATTTTCAATCTCATGGTTTCATTTATGTGCCCCCAACAGTTTCTTCCAAGGGTAATTGAACTGAAAGTGGGCCATTTTTATTTTTTGATAATATAGTAATATAGTATAAGATACCCAGTATCTTATGACCTGCTTCAGAAGCATTTTGGGGAAAGTGTTTCTCTGTGGGTTATTTTTTACATTAGCATTTTCTGAATATTCATGGATGTATTTTGGTATGACCACCATATTGCTTGCAAGACCAACTGCTGAAAAAGAGTTTGCTTCTTGTTTAATTTCTTATTAAGACTTACTTTAAACATTTTTGGTGGTTTATTGAAAAATAAAAATTACATGTGCCTCTAAATTTTTTGGAATGAAGGAACTGCAGTATCTATTCTTATCTGCTATTTCTTAAAAAATTATCCAAGTGATGTTAAACCAGAAGTTATCATGAATAAATCCAAATTGTTAGATTTGTGTTCTTTTGTTGTTGTAAATCATCATATACAGTATTTTTGTAAAAAGTACTCTTCATCATTGATTTTTTTTAATTCACAGGACATATAAGTACTGTACTGTACCTAACCTCCTATTCTCAAGTTTCATTTCCTTTTAGGAATGTGTTGTCAACAATCATGTTTCTGATGCTTAGTCTTTTCTCCTGGGTTGAGGAGAAAGCAAAGTAATTTTCTACTGATTTTTTGTAAAGGTGTTCTGAGTCATAATGTTTGTCCTCATTGTTTTGAAAAAAGGTCACAAATATATTTCATTGATAAAATTTGCTCATTTAAAAATACTGTAAATGAGTTATTCTTATAGACCACCTTTAGCAGATTGATTTTACTCCTATTTTGGGAAAATATACTGCAATGTTTAGGTCATTAACTGGGCATTGGACTTTTTTTTGGTAATTTATGTATATGTATTCCAACTTTAACTCATTACAAGTGTTCTGACTTTTGCATTGGCAGGTGGGATGCAAGATTATAACTACATTTGGCATGGATGCATGGAAGTGACAATTGAAATGTCCTGCTGCAAGTACCCAAAGGCATCAGAGTTGCCAGACTTCTGGGAAGAAAACAGAGAGGTATGTTTTTGGTTTTCTTAAAATGTTGGCCCAATTATACATGACTGTAAAATTATTTATGTTCTTTTTTGGAGAATATTGACACTACTGTGTATCAATCTTGGGATTTGAATTGTATAATGAATGTATAAATAAAAAAACCTATTCATCCAGATCTTCTTTGGGAGTATCAACTTCTTTTGGGCCTGGAGTGTTTGGGATGTGTAAAAAAATGAATGTATCCTTTTCATACCCATGAATTACACTTTCCATGTAAAAATAATTGATAATAGTTTGATAATAGTTTAAATGCATAATCTTATGCTATTGGGTTTCTTTTATGGCCTATGTTGTTGTGAATACTGTAGTTCACANACTGCATTATCTTGGGAATGGAGTGCATTGGAGTGACATCTGGTTTTTGATGAACATTCAACAGACTTCAAGCTTCACCTATTTTTTTTTAATATTCAGTCAAAAATATTAAAAATCTGCTTTGCAGGAAGAAATTTTTTTATTGAAGAGATGTGGCTTCTGTAACATGACAACTTGACATATGTTTAGTATGAGTAGCCAGGTGTCACTGCTTTGTTGGAGATCTCAAAGATTCAAAGGACCAGCAAAATAATTATTGAATTTTGCAATATGCTCATATACTTTAAAATTTCAAGGGACAAGAAAGACTAAGTGAGTTATTAAACAAGAATTTATTTTTTATTTTTTGGGCCTTGGATGACAAATTTAATCTGCTGACAGGATGCTGAAGTTGGAGACAAGGGTTAATTTGCACAATCAGTCTTTCACTTGCTTTCAAAACACATCAATTTACATGTTTATTTCAATTCTTTTACCTGTGATGATGAAATGAAAACTAAAAGACCTCCATCAGCACCAGAAAATTAAATTATGGCAGTTAAGGGAATCTGGGAGGTTTTTAATTCATTGCTTCCAATATAATTCAGAAAGGGGCTTCAAAGAAATTCTACACAGGCAGGTATTTGACCTGAGGATTATTTTTTAATTGTATAATTTAATTGTATATATGTATGTGCTCTACTCCTTTTTAATTGAAGATGAACATTTTATGTGAATAAATGGCTGGGAGTGACACCTGGTTGTGTTCAAACCTATGGTAAATTACTGTATGTCTTTCTTTTTATTTTATTATTTTACAGGTGTACAAGGACGGGTTTATCCCAGTGGAGAGGCAGTTCCAAGTGGTGGAGCAACACCCGACCCTCATCAACATCACCATGGTGCGGACAACGGTAAGAAGTTTCGCCGGGCCCTTGTA